CCCAATTTAGTTGTCCCCCCGCTCCGGACTCGGGGGCCGGGGCGCGCCGTCCTCCTCCGCCGTCCTCCTCCGCCCTCAGTTTTTACTCGGCCTGTGGTGTTCATCAAATAGTTCGCTTTATTTTTTCGATACATCAATGGATGCTATTTTCTTAACATTACGGTGTGAGCACGCGACTGTCACACAGAAAACGCAGTTTAAACTGTCGTCGGAGATCGCGGTCGCCGCCATGTTTCAATGTTGTTGACAGACGACAGGGCAAACAACGCATGCGCTCAACGTGAATATAGCGAGAGTTTGCACCGATGTAAACCCTCTACACAAAAATGTAGAGGGTTGTTTGAAAAAAATGCCGACCGTAAAGTTTTTTTTCGACATAAAAATTCTCGGTCGGTCGGGTTTCCGGAAACACACTACTTTTTTTTCTATGCCTAACCAAGATAAACTTTTTTTTAATGTAAGTTTGAAATGTTTTAAAGCATTGTGTAGCACTTTGAGTTGCATTTTTATGTATGAAGAGTGCTAATAAAATAAAGTGTAATTGTTTGTTTGATTGATTGATTGATTGATTGATTGATTGATTGATTGATTGATTGATTGATTGATGACATGCAAGTATAGAAAGACTTTCCATAATGTAAGGGTACCATTGTGCAATAGTACCACCGAATGACAGCTGTGCGACAATTTGCAGTCATCGAGCAGAGGTAAAGTTATCAGTGGTGCAATCCAATACAGTACTATGATAGTTGCGCAGTTGGTGCAGATACTCGTTGCACCATTTTTTTTTAAGTGACCAGCTGTAGTAATTGTAGTACAACTTTAGGGGTGCAATTACACAGAATGTCTTGGAGCGCTTTAAAGTGTCTGGTGCTGTGGAATATTGATCAACGACAATTTTTCAAGTATGTACAGAGCTGGAGCTACAATAATCATTGAGGTAATACTGTACCACTCCTTCTTCTACTACACCAATACTCAAACAAATTTTACCAATAAATATAATTTTACTATGACAGCTAATGTGTGTCTCTGTGTGCTACGGATACCTGCTTCATCCCTCTCCTCCTCCATCATCCAGGCTTTCAGGTATCTCAGACGAAGCTGTTGCATCTTCTGTGCACGCAGGAAATTGCGCCACTTGAACTCCAGGTGGCGCAACTCTTCCTCAATGAGCGCCATCTCACGCTCACTCATGGTCACGTTGCAGTTCATGTCCGCCACAGATGGGGACGGCACCTCCTCATTTGCAACTCCTTCCTGCTCCTCCTCACCTTGTGTGTTACTTGGCTGCCTCTTGCAATGGTACCTGATATCCTGTAGCTCCTGGTACCGCTGGAACTCGTCCTCTGTGAGGCCCGCCATTGTTGCCATCATATTCACTGGACTATTATGGAGCTGAAGCTGAGAGTCAGAGGTTCATGACACTTGCTTTATTCACTGGGAACCTTAAAGCAACTTCCCCCAAGTGATCCCACAAAGACGGAAGAGCACTGTAGTCCAAAACATCTCTATATGATACAATAGTTAAGACCTTAAAGGGGTCATTATGTAAAATTGTTTTTTTAAGAGGGTGTGAATAGTCTCTGACTCTGCTCCCCAAGTTTTTCAGCCGATGACTTGACAGCTAGGCGAGGTGAAGAGCTTCAATTATCAAGTGATTATGCAGAAACACAAGCTAGACAAAAGGTAAGCAGAGCTGCTGTGTTCACACAGATCAGCATTAGCTCTGATCACTGGCAAATACCGGTACTCGAAATTCATTGTCGTTTGAGGATTTTGACTAAAGAATGACAGAGAGCCTTTATGAAGAATTATGGCAAGTCTTTTAAATTGTAAAAAAATAAAAAGCATAATATCTCCTGGACAGGAATCGAATCCGACACCTGATTGATTAATCTTAATGGAATTTTACCTTATGGTGTGTGTGGTTTTGCGTGGTACCTCCTTCAGTTACATCCAGTGCGGTGAGAGTGTCAGAGGTGACCTGGAGGTGAGAAAAGGGAGGTGGGGTTTCTCCTTGGACATGCCCAGGACTTGGGGTCATCTTGGGGCTTGGTCCTACTCCAGGACTGGGTCGTGGACTGAGCCTGTACCGGGGGAAGGTAGTCAAATGAAAGTTCATCAACTCCTCAAAGTACTCCTTTGAACTTCTCAGCACCTTTTCCACACGACATTTCCATCCCTGTCTTAAACCACCCTAACCAGCTGCAAATAATTCTGGTTCCATCCCCCGGCCTGGCCAATTTTTGCAGCTCCTTCTCCTTCCATTGTGTTTAACCTCTTACACACTATCTGCTTGGCTTTTGTCAACTCCCTCTTGACCAAGGTGTCCTCTCCTTGTATTTCTGTCTGGTCTCTTCAGTTCTCTCACCCTCCCATTTCATCTTCACCTTTATCTTGATCTGTACACTTTCCTTAATGTTCTTCTTCCATCCCTGAGTCACTTTACTTTCTTCAGTTCAGGGCGAAGCAACTCCAGTCCTATAGAGCCTGCTTGTTTTAGAAGTCACCCCTTCCAATACACCTGAATGAAATGATCAGGATCATTATCAGGCTTTCAGAGTGCTTGCTGATCAGCTGTTTATTTGAAGCCGGTGTATTGGAAGAGGGAAACTTCTAAAACAAGCAGGACTGCGGATCTCTAGGACCAGAATTGCCTGCCCGTGCTTCAGTCCAATGGACACTTGTGCCAAGCACATTCTTAACCAGTTCCTCAAGACAACCCAGGGCTTTTCTTATCATCTTAAATTCTTCAAAGCATTTGTTAGAGGAGTCTACGAACAGAATGATATCATGTTTAAAGTTCCATTTAATTTGGGCATGTCTAGATGGTTTGTGTATTTAGCGCCCCCAAATGTCTGTGCGCAAGGGTGTTGGCCGTCTCGGGGGGAGGGCTTTTTGAAGTCCACAGTAATCATATTAAAGCAAGGGTGTGAACAGATGTAAGGAGGCTAGACTCGGCTTGGAAATGGGAGTAAGCAGTTTAGGAACGAAGTGTTTTAGAACATCAAAAGACGATTTGGGAACTGGTAGTAAGTTTCGCGCCCAGGCGAACATTTGTCATCTGCGAAGTCTGCAATTTACTTATTCGTGGCCGACCAGACATTAAGGTGTCAGTGTATCTATGTTTCAAAGCTTGACAAAAGTAATCGAATCACTGCCAAGGGACCGGACTGGGAGCGTGGTATGCAAATATCGGAGGCAGTGTTTTTCTTGTATTTTGCATATGTAAACAATAAAAGTCCGACGAAGAGCACGAGGATCTTCGAGTGTGATTGCAGCGCAACTGCCATCTTTCGGTCTGGGAAATCTGCTTCCGTCAGTTGCACCAACAACCTTCCCCGAGTCGAGTTCTTTTGTTTAAATTTGTCTGGGTATAACTCTGACGGCATTGTTTTTTTTTCCTATATTCCATCTGATCCTCCTCTGTACCTTCACTTTCTTTCTTTTCTCACCTCCAAAGGCATTGTCATTACAACTACCAAATACTAGGAATCAAGGTTTTGCTTTGCAGGCTTTAGAAGTCCTGACCTCGGACTGTGGCCCAGACAGAATTTGCGGGTGCTTCCGGGCGTGTTGGTGGCGTCTGTGTTGGTGGCGTCTGTGTTGCAGGCGCTGCTCAGACCACCGAGCAAGTCATGCTCTGAGGACTCATCGGTGCGCCCGAGTCCGCTGTCCAGATCCTGGCTGTTGGAGAGTAGCGGCGTCAGGTGGAGAAGAGGGGGCAGCAGGACAGGGGCCTCCGCCGCGTTTCCTTCCTCATCGTCATCTTTATCGGCATCATTCGATTCTCCTCTTTCTGTTCTACTATGGCGGCGGTGCAAGAAAGACTTTTGTCTGGTGGCGACGCCGTCACCAAGGTGATCTTCCTGAAAGGACATTTATTTAAAGTGGACACATAATGCGAAAGTGATTTATCAAAGTGAATACAGATATTGGCTATTTGCAAAAATACAGTATATATACCGTATATTAACTGTAATTTCCATTGACTATTCAGGGAAAGGAACAAAAACAGCAGATGAATAGTAAATTGGATTTTAATGTAGTCGTAGCAGCTATTAATGCCAAGGAAGCTATCTTGAGGCAGGTAAGCTCTGGAGAAGATGTGATTAAAATGATAATTTGCTTGTATTGCACACATGAGTGGAGAGGATGTTTCGCTTTGCATGACTCGTGGCTTGAAAAAAGGATTTTCTCATCGTGGACACTGTCATATATGGCATCATATCATAAAACCATGAATTTATCTTGTTTATTGGCACTGTCGTGTCTTGTGTGAACTTAGCACGCATGTGGCAGGAGACATGTAAGGAAGGAGGCTTGATCTTCGTTTGTGTTGTCTCATCTGTGCAGCATACGATGATGTTGTTCTGGGGTTGCAAGTCACCTCCATGTCGGGCCGGGCCAGCAATAAGGAGAAGTTGCCGCTATCTTCTCTGCTCAAGATGGCGACAGCTTCTTCTCTGCTGCCAATGTCTACCCCATTGATCTGCACATGAGGCATCTCAAGCGTATCATCTAGCTGTCACAAAACATTCATTGGTTTAAATCACATTTTCTCAACAGTATATGCAGGACTTTTTTTTTTCCTTGGACTTTTTTTTTTTTTTTGCAACTGTATATGGTGGATATCAGGTGGAGACAAAATAAGAGCCATTAAAGGCAGCTTCCTTTAAGCCAAAAGATGTGAGGTACCTGAAGTATTCGGTCTCCCTCCCTGATGCGTCCGTTCTTTGCAGCGGTGCTGTTTGGATTCACCTTGGTCATGTGACAGAAGGAAGTCAACAACCACACTTAAGCGCATTCCCAGCTGAAAATGGTGTTTACGTGTTTACCTCTCCAACATAAATACCCATCTTATCCTCGTCATCTGTCCTGTAGCAGACCGTCAAGCCCAGCTTCTCCTGCTGACTACTCTTATAAAGTGTGACCTCCTAATTATAATAAGAAGAAGAAGAAGAAGAAAAAGAAGAACGATGATACTATTACTCATACTACTACTGCTATTACGAATAATAATGTTTATTTAAATGTGCCTTACAGGGCACACTTGGGCACTCTACAATCAAACAGTGAAACCCAGATTAAAAAAAAAATAGGTACAAATCAAGAGAAATTTCAATGTGTACATCAAGAGGATGAATACAAGAAACTAAACAAATGTTTTAAGTTTGGGAGCATGCGGACCGTGTCATGCCGTGTATGAACCTGACGCTCATGGTCGTTTCGAAGAAGACATTTAGACTCTGGGCAGAGAGAAAAATGGTGGGATTGTCTCCACCCATAACAACACAGATTATAATTTAGTGACACAATGTGAAGTAAGATCTTGGGTAGGATTTGGATTTGCTGGCGAGATGGTCTGAATGAGATATGTGATGAAGAGCAGGGGACTCAGGACAAAGCCCTGAGGCACACCTGTGTTGACTGGGGATGGCTGAGAAGTGAATTATTTTAGTTGACTGAATTGAGTGCTTGAGAATTTGTGTGAGATGTCAAAGACGATGAGTCAATTGAGGATGGTAAGGACCAGGGGTGCCCAAGTCCGGTCCTCGAGATTCCCTATCCAGCCTGTTTGAGATATCTCCCTCTTCGAACATACCTGATTCAAAAGATCAGGGTCGTTATCAGGCTTCTCGGAGCCCGATAACGACCCTGATCTTTTGAATCCGGTGTGTTGGAAGAGAGTGACATCTAAACTCGGGGCTCTTGAGGACCAGACTTGGGCAACTCTAGACTGTGAACTATGGTGTGAGGGGAGTCGATGTAACAAACTTGAGGTCACTCTTGGTAGATGCCCTCACCTCATATTCCAGCTCGTCTGGTCGGTCCACTTCGTGGTGTGACACTTCCAAATAGTCATCACCAGCGTCGAACACGCATTTGCTGGGGAAGGCGTTAAATAACAAATTGCAGCACCTCCACTTTATCTCACTATCATCATCATCAAAGAGGTAAAACATACAATTCGTTAGCCCAATACTCTCCCATCAGGCACGGGAGTACTGGAGTGATCGCTGGCCACCGGAAGCTGACGTCAGTCTGTGTGGTGCTGTCCATATGCTCAGGAGGAAGAGCAACCATGGTGAGGGAGGAGACGGAAGTGCCACTGGTCCGATTTCTGGTGTTCACTATCGCACCTGATGGAAGGAGGTGCAGTGATGTACTGTGATTAGCAGAGGTGGAAATAAGTCACGTTATGTGCAAGTCAGAAGTAATTCTTAAGGTTTCATCTTCAAAGTTTCAAGCAACTCCCTGAAGTTGAGTCTCTATTAGATTTCAAACAAGTCATCAGTCAAGTCATACACTTTTGCGCCCTCACTACTCATTTTAGGCACTTTGCACTTAGTATCTCTACTTGTGTATTATGAATTAACGGGATGAAAACATTGTCCAATCCGGAGTGTAATAAAAACATTATTGCCCTTTGCACAGTCACGGTCTACGAGTGCCACATCAGTTGTCAAAATGTACAATTAGTGCTTGTTATGACAATATTGATGAGGGCTCTAACTTGATATTGAGAAACATGTTACCTTTTCTTCTGTGACTTTTGTGGTTGGGCCCAGGTCGCTGCAGAGGCTCCTGGGATTTAGGTGGTCTGTCCAGCGGGAGGTGAGAACGTCTCCTTCCTTTCACCTGACAGATTGTACAACATAAACCTAGCATGGATCTTTCATGATTCTACTTTGTACTTCACTTCACAGTGGAGCCTCTCATGCTTTGCTTTTTCTTTGACTGAAGAGTGAAGAAGGAGGTAAGAAATACAGATGAAGATGGGATTAACAAAAAAGAAGACCTTGCTCGGTGGTGATCAGTGAAGGACATACAGTATGGTAGCATGGATGGATGAGCAGTTTAGTGGGACCAGAATTCGGTGGGTGAATAAACAGAGGATCAAATGGCACTTAAGGATGAAGCAGTGGCAGGGTAGACAACAGACACCAGATACTGTTATCTTTTCAGTTCCACGTCGAGGCCGGACGAAGCCGAAATGGATGGATGGCAACACCATGGTGCATCAAGAAGAAAAACAGAATGAATAAGAAATATAATATAAAGCTGCAAGTAAATATGAAGAGGCCTTTGTGCACATGACAATAAGTAAATAAATAAATCTGAGGTTTTCTTTTAATTAAGGCCAGCCCATTGGCATTTAGTTTAGTTTATTTCCACAATGTTGTTTCCAGAAATAAAAACAAAACATTGCATTTACATTCTAAAAAAATTGACTCTTCTGAAGCTCAAACCTTATAAATAGGGGTCCAGCACACTAGCACCTAACAAATTTGTAATATTTCACTGACATAAAATGATGTAGATCTCATTTAGGAAAAGCTTCCAGTGCAAGGCAAGAACCTCACAGTTTATAAAGAAGAGGACATGCAAATCATAATTTGAAAATATTCGGAAATTAGTACATGTTGATTTCCTAAGTTTCACCATTAGATGCAATCTACTTGTATTACTTTGAAGGTGCGAGGAAGGGTACAGTGGAACGAGTTCACACCAGTGAGTGTTTAGCCTGTGGACCACATTGTATATTGTGCATAGAGTATGAAAAAGATGACATTCTGGAAAGCATTTGCAGGATACAACAATTACATACTGTAATTCGTGATGAAAAATCTGTGGTTTGGACTTGAATGTAATCTTTTTCTTTTTTTTAAATCAATAGAATGTTGGCTCAAAATAATTTTAAGAAAGTCGGATGGTATTGTGACCGGCTGAGAAGTGAAATGGAATCGGTCATCTTTGCATGTAGCACTTCAGTGAATTGAGAACAGCAAGACCAGAGACCATCCATCCATGTTGATTTTGAAGTGTTTCCATGCTGACCTGGTGTGGAAGTAAAGTAGGACAAAGATGATGGGCTTCCTTTTTCCATCCCTTCCCCCCATTTGTGATTATTGTGTCTCTGCACTCGGCGCGCTGCCAATGACAAATGGGCCTGTCAACACCAGTGTGTGTGTGTGTGTGTGTGTGTGTGTGTGTGTGTGTGTGTGTGTGTGTGTGTGTGTGTGTTGATGGAGTCATTAAATAGTTAATGAGCAGGGTGGTAGGGAGAAAGGGGGAGGGAGTTGTAATCCCTTACGTATAACAGAGGTGTGCAACTCCGGTAATCGGTTCAAATGTAAAAGTTAATTTCACATTTGAAGTCTAACATATTTTGCATGGATCTCTATGGACTTCATGTCTCATGCAAACACTACAATCCAGAAATCAAGTCCACCCTCAGACTTCACCGAATCACGCCTCTTTGGTGTTTACGCACAAATTTCCAAATTACGTACACATGGTGGTTGTGTCAGAGGACAGGATAGAAGACAGGATAATCGCTATGCCTTGTAATATGTAATGTAAATGTTGTCTATGATAATAGTTGTTTGTGGTTGTCACAAAAGGCGCCATTCACGATGGGATCAGCAGTGCTACGCAAATGTATGGAGCAAAGTAAGTAAGTATGCAAGGGTGTTTAGAATGTTTAGAATGTTAATTCTGTTTTTCTGTTTTCCTTTTGCTTTGAATGTATATGTCTTGGCCTCAGTGACTATTCACCTGTGACAAAAAGAAAGAGTTTGTCACCGTTAAATTACATAACATATTTGTTACACATTACCCCCAACACTGCAATTGTTGCGCAAAGAATTTTTTTTTTTATTTGTCGATCCACACTGATTCTTGACATTTTTGTTGTCTCATAATTTTTTGTGCCATTATATTAAAAAAAAAGAATACATTAAAAAATAGCAATAAAATAATCCATTCCAATATGTGCATGCTTAGCCGGCTCCCAAGCGAGACAGCATCAGTGTGGCTTCTCTAATGGCAGCGGTTACCACGGCAACAACATCTCACTGAGACATTCTTGATAGCAATGTGAAGACGACATGCTGGTCGTGGTGAAGGTTGGGGTGGCGACTGCGGAGAGGAGGGTGGTTGTCAGGGAAGCGGGGGGTGATTCATGCGCACACGTGGCGTCATGTTCGCCGTGGTCACACAGAAACAGTGAAAACGTTTCTTCAGTAGCGCAGAAGCTTTGAGAAAATGAAAAGAAAAGTAGTATTAATAAAAGTTGGGTCTGCGAGGTGATTTGCCCTTGTGCGGAAAAAAAAAAAACATCTTTCTTGGATCATTTTGGTTTGTATTTGGATAAAAGTAGTGAAAGAGGACATGAAGGTAAGTGGTGTGAGAGAAGAGGATGCACAAAACAGGGTTAAATGGAGGCAACTGATTCGCTGTGGTGACCTCTGAAGGGAAAAGCCGAAAGGAAAAGAAGATTAGGATAAAAGTTGCTTCAAGTTACATGCAAAAAAAAAAAAAAAAAAAATCATGCAAGCTGGTTGTGTTAAATATTTGTATTCAATTAAAATGGAATGAACCATTCATTTTCAAACTAAATAATTTTTTTCTTTAGGAAATTTGTCCTTCTCCCTTTAGTAAGTGTTATACCATGAAAATGACTGATTTCACATTTTTGAATTAGCTCTTTTGTTATGTTCTGGGTCAAATCGACCTGCTCTAAAAGTGTGAGTATCCCTTTTCGTAAATGTCAAAAATGCCCTATTTTTTATTTGCAATATTTAAACAAAAGAAAGGATGAAACATTCATTTTTCTCACTGTAAAATAAATGAAGTATTTTCTTTGGACTAGTATCTGCGAAAGATAATGCATTTAAATTGATTACATTTAATAATGAGATGTTTTATTCTTTTCATGCCATGGGTCAAATTGACCCTGTAACATTTTTGCCTAACAGGAAGGTTAAAAACATTTGTGCCAAGTGAAGCCAGCTTTGACTTCGGGTTCCTAATGCACTTGATTCAAAATGTTACATCATGTTGGCATTCGGATGACATTCTGTGCTTTTCAAATTGTCCACAAGTAGACATACCTGGTACATGACCTTGTAGTGCTCCTCAGGACGTCTGACCACACACATGTTGCAGCCCATGATGGCCCAATTTCAGCTGCACATCGGCCCTTCCTCACCCGCTCCTCGTGTGTTGCTCTGCAGTCTTGTAGTGAGGTTGACCAAAATCCCCAAACTTCAAGATGTCCCTCTGACACGAGCGTGTGATTGGAAAAGTTGTTCAAAATAGGTGTGAAAAGTCACTTGCGCTTTGTAGCGTTGAAAAAGAAAAAAAAAATGCACATGGTGCATTATTTTGTGCTGTTAGCTTGTGTTTCATTTAAATGTGACTTGGGCAACATTTGACTGGCAGCTTTCCTTTCGAGTGGGTTTGCTGCTGTGCCGACCTGATTTTGCGGAGTCAGGAAGTTGAATTTGAGATCATTTTGTGCACTTTGGTCCCTTATTTCTTCCCCCAGCCACCTGACGTGGACGGAATGTCCGCAGGAAATGTAAGAAGGTACCGGCGTCAATTTCCTCTTATATTTCTAATGTCTGCAGAAAAAAAAGGCAAGTAATCCTCCGTCTGGTCGGTCCAGTGGTCCAAAGGAGATCAGGATCTAAATCCAGTGAGGTTGCTGGGAAGCAGAGTTTCGCAGGTCAGATTTTGTTGTGGACAACATATGAAAAATTGCAACGAGTTGCTGGAGAGATGTCGGCTAATTCCTGGCTGTACTGTCAAGGTGTCATTGAGCAAGCCCTTCCATGACTGCTTGTGTGTGATTTGGTTCTCTGTATGTGCTGTGCAACACAACAGAGCGTACATTGAATTTGTAATCCTGAAGGGATTACAGTGAATATGAGCAAATCAATTCAATTCAGGCACTGATATAAATCTAGCCACGCACCGATGATTTTAGCAATTGTGTTAAATGATCTAAAGCTAGTGATTTAATTCTAGTTGTGGACCTCCATTGATTTATGCTACTCTGATTCAAGAGGTGGATCTAAATTCAGGGATGAAGCGATGATACCGTTGATCATTTTCAATCAAGCGAAGAATTTCAATCCAAACTGGTGCTTTGATTCCATGATAGTTGGAAATCCACCCACCATCATCCGTTCTTCCTCTTGTTCTGGATTTCCACTGGGCAGTCATTTCTCCCAAAATCCACTTGAATTTCTCCCCCGGAGGTCAGTACAGTGATGGGACCATGTACACACAAATATTAATTTTACATAATACCACACCCCCTTCAGAAAAGAAATAAGAATATTTTAATGTCATTAACTGTCTAACGCAAGCGAATTGCACTTTTCATGAAAGCGGTCGAAATAAACCAAAAGCGTTCTCGTAGTTCATTTTGGTCCATGTACTGATAACTACCTGTCATTTTACTCCAATGATGGCATTCTCTGACTGGCAACCAGTTCAGGGTGCACCCCGCCTGCTGCCTGAAGACGACTGGAATAGCTTCCAGCACGCCCGCGACCCTTGTTAGAATAAAGCGCCTCAGATAATGGATGATGGCATTCCAACTTATTTCTAACTACAACAAACGTCCTTCTGTGCTCACTTTTTACCAACGGTGTTCACAATTGACTGTGACTCGTTTAATTGTCAAAAACACATCAAACCAATGAAAATGCTATGACTCCTTTCTGTTTGTTTAAGAAAATGGAAACATTAGGGCCAGAAGAATAAATTCAATGCCAATATTTGTTTAAATGCTGTGGTTTTTTTAGTTCTATATTATCAAACAGGTCAATTAACAGAAAGCTTTACCCACTCTGGTTCAGGCAATAAAAATGTCACATTTAATATATGCATACGTATCCAAAGAAATTAAACAATAAGGGAGACGCAAGATGTTCCCACAATAGCAATTATATTAAAATGTCATTTGATTTGTTTTCACCTGAAGAACCCATACATTATTGTCTGTATTATGATCCAACTCAACGGCTTGCAGAGCACCTTTCCAGATGTTTCTGAGTCTCCTCCAGATGTTTAGGGGAAAGCGCCTCGGATGGCTCCGACGCACGGTGATCCATGCCTGGGCAGCGCTTCCATGGTGAAAGCCTCCTCTTCCTCGCTCTCTCCAGAAATAAATGTGCTATTTGGTGCGCTTGCGGAGCCAGCAGGCACGTGTCAGTCCCGGTTTTGAGGTCTCCAATCAAAATGCATCCGCTGCCCACAGTGATGAAGAAGAGGAGCGCATCTCCTATTCACGCTGCTCTCTCCTCTTCTGCAGCCTCTGCAGCCAATCACATGCTGGAGGCAATTAATTTTCGCCACCAGTGGACCCCCTCCCCCTCCTCCCTCGTCTTCCTCCTCCCACCTACTCTGGATTGCTGTTGCTTTGTCTCCGACGTTTGTTGATCCAGGACCAAGAATCCGCTAAGAAATGTCCGACCTTTCTCGGAGACACCTAAAATACCACATCTGGAATAGGTAGATTAAGTCCTTGAGGACTTGGAACTGGGCTTTATCAGGACGTGTCCTCCTTCTCCAGATCTTGTCTTGCTCAAGACCTGTATTGATCCAGGATCAGGACTCCCTAGGACTTATACTGTACACAACATACAGACTTTCTCCTTGAGCAGATGGAGCTGGACTCAATCAGAACCTGTACTCTTCCTCAAGAACTGGTCCTGAACAGAAGTCTTTACTGATTCAAGGCCAATACCCCTCTAAGAAATGTTAGAAACCTCGTCCCGGACCTCTACACCACAGTACGCATCTGAAGCATACCTGTACAAGTGTAGTCCTTGAAGACTTGGGGCTCTCATTTTGTACACTGCCACACAAACACTCTGCGTTAAAAACAGGTCACAGGGCAAGTCTAGTTTACCATGTTTGGGAGGACGCGTTGCGCCATACTTTGCGTTCCAGCAAACTGAGGGCCGTTTCTTCTACATGCCCCCAGTGTACTTAGCAATATGGTGAGTGAAAGTAGACGAGACCTTAGACTAGCTGGAAGCAGGTCTAAGTTAGGGCGCAGGTGGCGTCATAGGATTTTGGTGGATTTCATTGAGGTGAAGTTAGATTATGAGCAAAGGGAACAAAAACTAATGGAAAACAAAGAGCAAGACTTTTTGACAAACCTGTTGTCAAGATGGCACTGGAAGTGGAGCAGAAAATGAGGCCTTGGTAAGTGAAGTGGAAAAGAAGCTTTGGAGAGAAAAAAAAAGCTTGATTGTTGCAACCAGTGCACAGTGGCAGCTTTTGTGCAGTTTTTGTCAGGTTTGCGAGGCGGTAGGTGTGGCAGACCCCAAAAAGCAGGGAGGCAGAAGGAGTCGGGTGGACTGAGCAAAATGTATTGACAATAATCACTTGGAGGGTACACTGGAGAAACTAATTCAAATACTCAAAGAAAGTCCTGAAAACCACAAGGAACCAAAGTAATAAACTCCCATGACAGAAACAAAACATGACAGGGACACACAAACGCACAAAATGATCCAACAAAGTACGACAGAACCCAGGGAACTAAATACAAGCAAAGTGACGAATCAATGAGGAACACCTGGACAAGAGACAAAGGGTTGAGGAAGCTGATTGGTTCAACACAAGGGGTGACGAGAACAGGGGAACAGGTGCAGTCAAAAATGTAATCGAAACAAAAACAGAACAGTTTTCTGATTCTAACTATTCAGATGATAGTATACCTCACGTACTGCACCCTGCAGAACCACAGCAATTGTGTTTAATGTTTTGAACAAAAAACTTCCAGTATCGTTAGTCAGGTCTTTAGTTCATCATGTGACTTTTGACAAACTACAGAATATCATTGGGGTTACTTTAAAATTCAACGTGTTATTTGAGTCCATTTCAGTATGTGTATGCACTCTTTTCAGTCCTGTATATTAGCCAAACGAAATGTCAGCATTGTGTATGAAAGCATTTCAGCAGCATACGTGAGAAGTAACCCTGAAGAATGTGGGCAGAACTGGTTGCTGAAAACTCGTCGAACCTGGCACACTGTGACAGCTCAGTCAGTTTTGGTACTTGGTTTGAAGCGGGCATAACTAAATGTTTGACATTTCGGTAATTTTTCTTTTGTGCAAGTTTTGACTTAATTTTCTTGCATTAGGCCTGAGGTGAAGAATAACAAGAAAAAATATTCGGCACATCCAGGGCCACATCTTTCCTCGTTATACCAAATGCACATTACCTGTTATGATCGAACTCAATAACCACGCAAGTTTACACAGCTTCCAGTTGGGACGTACTCTGTATGTTATAATACATCACAGATCAAATGAAATACGATCAAAATAGTAACTTACCTCATAATGTGCCCTGCTGCGTGGACTGACATGGTAGGACATAGAGTCTTAATTTGAAAACAAAATTGAACATACACATACAAAATGCAACTAAATAAGAAGAATAGACTATTGGGAGCAAATGAAAACAAATCCATACAACAAATATTCGAATTGAGTTGTGTATGTAGGTCAGTCAGTACTACAGATAATGTTTAGGGCAGCAGAGAAGGACTTATTTCGAAACCCGGTGGTCAAAGCACTGGCCCGCAGTCATCTGACCTACCTTAATAACATTCTAAACATGAGATAAGATAAGATAAGATAAGATAAGATAACTTTTATTTGTCCCACACTGGGGAAATTTGCAGTCTACAGCAGCAAGATTGGGGGATAAAGTGTTTCATTGCACAAAATAAATGTTTCAGAAAAGAACTGTACACAGTTCAATATAAGTGTGCAATATAAAATAAAACATTAGCAATATATTTGTAGAATATTTGTGGAATAAATATAATAAATAATAATTAAACAATCTTTCTTCAAGTGCACACTTATTTGCTGTCACTTAAGCCTCGTAGTCGAGCAATCTGCTTCCTATATTTACCCCCCTGGCCCCACAAAGCGCAGAGGAGTTATATTGTTGATTTATAAATATATATTTATTTAAAGGTTGCAGGTTTACAGATCATACAAGGGCACACAGAATACTGGAATCAAACACAAATACAGCAAAAAACAAGTGATTTGAATATAAAGGCTGAATAATAACACGGATAGATATTAAGATCAGATATTGTTGCAAACAATGTTCTTTAATTGATATGTAATCCAAGTCATTGCTTTAATGACATGATATGAACGTGACATTCTTGTTTTGGTCTTTGTTCCACAGCAGCCTACAATTTACTTAGACTGCGTCATTGGCGCACCCAAAATCAGTCAGCTGTAGGACAAAAACACTTCCTGCTCAAGTAATGACGAGGGTCATCGTTGGGTCGGTATGCAATGATCCGTATCCGTCTTCTGAAATGTTTATGCTGTTCATATTGGCAGGGAGATGGAGCCTATCCCGGCTGACTTTGGACCCAATGCGGACGATGACCTGAACTTATCATTATTCAACTGTCGCACACGCATAGACGACCATTCCAACTCCAATCACCCATCACTGAGTGGAAACTGAACCCTCCGCATACGTCAGGCAAGTGAGCAATTAAGCTGTCAGTGGCTGGTATGCAAAAAGTACACTTTAATTACCCGTTGTTTGTCCATTTCACTCATCCTTTTAAGACCTGCTATTTTCTAATTGTCTCCTGTGATTCAACTGCGTGGTATCATCCGAGCGGAATGCAGCCTTTTTATGAGCATCCTCGCCGAACCAGTCGGATCCATTCGCACTTTTCAAATTTGATGCGCTGTAATGGTGACAGCAAAAGTACACTTGTTGTGTTACTTCTCAAGAATGAGGAACTCATTCAAAAACCTGAGCATACATTTCATGTCATAACCAACCAGGCAGTTCGACATTCCAAGACTGTCACCCGATGTATATAAGGACCGCTCGTCGTCGTCGTCAGCATCAAGCGTCACACCCTGCGACAAAGGTAACGATGCAGTCTTGCGTTCAAACTCCATTTTAGGGGACTTCACCACATCTGCTTCACCGCTTTGCAACGTAATGCTGCAATTTTATTGTTAAAATTTTGACACGTCATTATTATTATTTTTTTTCTGTTGGTGCGCAGATGGAATTTGCTCTTCGCTCGTTGTTCCTCCTTTGCGGGATCAGTGGACTGTTGACTGGAGTCGTAAGTCAAAATCTCACCTACTGACCTCAGTAAACATACATAGTCACTATCGTGCTTGGGTTATTGTTGTCTTCAGTTGTTTCCCCGTTGTGCAGTCTGCTTGTAAATAACTTTTTCTTCTTGGCAGTGGTCTAAACCTACCGTTATTGTAAAAGGTCGGTAGCCGTGCCTCGAACACCTTTCTAAATCCCTTTGCTTTGTCTGCATTTGACGGCGTATTTGATTGACATATCTTGGAAATGCAAATTGTGCTGCAGGCAATAGCTGTCCTATTGGCTGGACTCAGTTGGACTGCTACTGTTACATCTATGAAGATGAGGGCAGAAGCTTTGCAGATGCCGAGGTATGGAAGACGTTAGCATAAGCATGTGATGTATCTGTAAACCAATTGGCTGCCCTTCCAAGCAGCGACCCATCAATTTTCTCTCGATTGTTCCAAAGTCCAAATATCTTATCTGATGGATCAAAAGTGTGAAATGACCTTTTTGCTTCCCCTTCTCCCCAATCAGAGCGTCTGCAACATTCTTGGCGGGAATCTGGTCTCCATTCACAGTGCCCTGGAAAATGCTTTCATTCTTGAACTGATTCGGGCAGGCGATAATGACGACGAAGCCTGGATTGGTCTCCATGATGCAATTCAGGTGAAAGATTCAAAGTTCGGTTTGAGTCATTTCAGGAGAAACATTTTTGTCACAAATCAGTGAGCCCTCCAATCTCATTGATTTTGCCTCACAGAATGATGACTTTGTCTGGACTGATGGCTCAGATACTGAGTTCACCAACTTTGACGTTGGTGGATCAGAGCCTGATGAAACTGGTGAATGTGTGCACATTGATGAAAGCGGTAGGTAAAATCAATGATCAAAACTCACTTCGACTACCATGCTGTCATACTTAAATATGAATTTCTTACAGCTGGACTTTGGGAGGATGCGCTCTGCTCAGATGAGGCCCCGTACGTTTGCATCAGAGATATACTCCATCACTAAAAATGGATTTGTATACAGTAATACCTGATGCATGAGAAAATATGCAACTTTCGTCGGGCCTTCATACTTGTGGGTTTTATTGTCAACTCTTCTTTTCATCTTCCTTAATGCTCATCTTTTTACTATGGAAACAAATGTAAAAGAGCATCATTTTACTTAATGAAGAACTGTCTGCATCCAAATATGTGTTTGTACCTTATTTTTCTAACTTCAGATTCAATCAGTCAATCAGATCAATTGATGTGATTGAAAAATAACCTCATCATTCTCATCCCGAGCCCACCACAGTTGGTGCCTTAAAAACGGCCGCGCAGGTGAACGCGTGGGCCATATTTTACATTTCACTTTCCCAATAAAGCAGATAACATGTCCATATGCATTAAAATTCATTCACCTTTCTCTCACTTCTTGATGTGTTTTTCAAAATAAAATGCAATCGCAGATGGATCTGCCTGCACGCTTTGGTTATTGGAAAAAAACACATCGTGACAAGACTGCCCCTCGAAATTGCATTTGAAAGTGGATTGATTTGAAAAAGCGCAAATCATTTCTCTGGAGGCACAGTGGGCGAGCCTTTGTGGAAAATGGGAATATCTGGAGGCTAAAAATAAGAATCTTACATATGTGAGACAATGTGAAGATGCCTTTTTATGACGAATGCAAGTATCACGCAAGATGTGTTCAAATCTGCGCCAGGGCTGCCTAAGTCGGGTTTTGTTATATTCGCAGACGCTCACAGCTTGCCACAGTTTGAAGCAAGCATTTTGCGCTGTTGTGGGTGTGGACACACCTGACTTCAATCGTCGCCAATCAATGCAAGAAAGAGGCAATGTACTTGACACGGCAGAAGTAGCAAGGATTTTGCTGAGGTTGAAGAGTACAAAGTACATTTGTACGAAACCGCAAGCAGACCTCCACAGAGGAATGACATTAAGACGGCCGGGGAGATCACGGCACTTGGAGATAGTTCGTGTCAATGGTGGATTCATTAACAAAAGGACTCAAAACCTTCTTTTATGGAAAATTTTTGCCTCGCTGATTTTATCCGCTGATTTTTTTTTTAACCTCTTATTTGTTGTTTGTTGTTTTGTTGCTTGTTTACTGTTGCATGTGCTATGCACTTTGAGATTTGTCTCCAAATGTCAACAGCGTTACTAACAAAAAAAAAAAAAAAATCGATGATGATGATGATGATTATTATTTATTATTATGATTAGCCATCCATCCATTTTCTGATCCTCACAAGGGTCGCGGGGCATGCTGGAGCCTATCCCAGCTGTCTTCGGGGAGTAGGCGGGGGACACCCTGAAACGGCTGCCAACCAATCGCAGGGCACACAGAGACAAACAACCATCCACACTCACACCTAGGCACAATTTAGAGTGTTCCATGAACCTGCCATGCATGTTTTTGGAATGTGGCAACCAGAGTACTCGGAGGGAGAAACCCCGCGCAGGCACGGGGAGAGCATGCAAACTCCTCACAGTAAGGCCAGAGCCAGAATCAAACCCTAAACATGTCCAAGGAGGGCATAATCTGTCTTCCTTCATCCCAATCAAATTTGCCAATATCGCATTACCTGCATCAGTAGTTAGCCAGCAGGAATAGTTGAGTCAAATTTGAGCCACCAAATTACCAGATGCTCCAGGTGCATGTCAAAGGAAACGCCTTTGGTACGCCAGGATGCCAAGCATGGCCAAACAGGCATAAACGGGACTTGCACCAACCCAAAATAAGCTTGTTTTGAAGGACCAAAGTAAAAGTCTTTCAGCTGTGAGACAATTGTAAATCTTGAATGAGTATCTTTTTGATAGGTCAAAGTAAGGGTCTTAATCTTAATATTCACAAGACAATCTGAGTGTTCAAACTCATCTCAAAGCCTCTATGAAGGATCAAAGAGTCATTTTGAAGGATCAAACTAAAAGTCTCATTGCATAAGACAATTTGAAGGATCGAAATGAGTCTGACAGCTGTGAGACAATTTGAAGTTTCAACGTAAGAGTCTTGGGGCTGCAAGACTTTTTGGTGGTTCAAAGTAAGAGTTGTTTATACATGAAGGGTCAAATAGAGACAATAACAAGCTCAAACTTGCAGGAGATGTTTTAAAGTCATGACAGAGTCTGCTTGATATTTTTTTCTTTTTTCCAGTTTTTGCTTCATTAAAATTTCTTCTCCTCAATGAATAAGTGTCACGAAAAAGCCACCGGGCAGACTGAAATATTTCATTTCTCCTTTCCTCCAAATCCAAACAGAGTTTTGCTGCCATCGTGCGTCCAAATGAAGTGACTGCGATATGGTGGTCTCTTCTTTCACCAGCTCAGTAACGTGGAGGAGTTGGACCTTCCGTCTGCGTACAATATGAAGCGTGAAGCACACGCGGGCACACACGCAATCACTCAAGAGCACACGCACACTGCACCCTCCTACTAATTGTCTCAATCGATACACACCGAGGAGAATTACGTCGTCATGGTTAAGTCAGCGATACACGGGTCCATTTGTAATCATGTGCATTGTGCACTACATTCAATTGATTGATTGATTGATTGATTGATTGATTGATTGATTGAACACAACAAAACAACACTAAAGACAAAAAAACACAATCAAAGAAAAAGATCAATCTGGCAACTTGTGTGTACATGATGCATATCAATATCATATGCAGTAATTTTTTATAGAGTACACCATAGTTGGACCTCGGATAACTCAACTCATGTGTGTGCATGTCGATGTAGTGCATATGCAACTGTACACTATATGTATATTCGTATACATGCATGTATGTATGCATACATACACTGTATGTATGTATGTATGTATGTATGTATGTATGTATGTATGTATGTATGTATGTATGTATGTATGTAAGGAGAAAAAGGAAGTATCAACGAAATAAGAGGAAGCATGCCGGACGCATAGATTCAGAGACGGGGAAATCGAACAGAGCACTCACTCTGCTGACTCTTTTGAGCTCTTTAATTTGGTGAAATTGCCACTTTAAATTGTTAATACTATGACTACTACTACAACTAGTACTACTACCATTAATAATAATAATAATAATAATAATAATAATAACAATAATAATAATGAGATGCTCCTGCTGTGCTGTGCAGAAGAGCTTGAGAATCCACACTGACGGATGATGATAATGATAATAACAGCACTATTAGTAGTAGTAGTAGTAGAAGAATTAATTCTAATACTAATAACTAATAATAATAGTAGTAGTAAAAATAATACAGGCATTATCATCATCATCAACATCATCATCATCATCAGTCAGTGTGGATTCTTAAGCTCCTCTGCAGAGCATCTCTGCGCAGAGAGAGAGAAACATCTTGCACCACGAGTGAGAGGATCTTGGGGCCGTCCGCTGCAGCAAGTCTGTGTGCGCCGTTGAGGATGATGTTGGTGGCCGTCTTTTTCGTTTTCTTCTTCTTCTTTTTCTTCTTCATCATCATGGAGGTGGACATACCGCAGAGGAGCACTGCCGCCACCGTGCTGAGATGAATCATCTTCATCATCACCAGTGAGTGTTTCTCCTACACGCACACACGCACACACACACACACACACACACACACACACACACACACACACACACACACACACACACACACACACACACACAAGAAATGCAATCCAGCACACACATCATAGATATCTTTATGTACATTTGAATATTTTTTTAGGATTCATTTGAAACTGCAATGCGTGGGAATCCTTAATGACATGCCATTCCAATCAATCTGATGTTGTCCTTTATCTTTTCCTTCCTATAGATATATATATATATATAGGAAGGAAAAGATAAAGAAAAACATATATCAGAGAGAGAGAGAGATAAAGAGAGAGAGAGAGAGAGAGAGAGAGAGAGAGAGAGAGAGAGAGAGAGAGAGAGAGAGAAGAGAGGGAGAGCACAGCTGGATAGCTCAGTTGGTAAGCCACCGGTTTGGCGTACGGAAGACGGGGGCAATATGAGCACATAACACCATCCATAGCCCGGCCAAACAAGATCTGCGTCAGGTGCTGGGGAACCAGAGCACCTTGATGAAAAATGGGCTACTGGAACAAAGCAGAGATGGGCGAGATGCGACAACATGACTCGATTGGAATGCTACTAATCAAGCAACCCTAGTCAGAGGGGTTACATGCAGAGAATGTGGGCTGAATGGTTATTTCAAAACCCACAGTCACGGGTGACCACGAAACAACTAGTAGCTCAGTGTTCCAACATCTACAAGCGGCAATTGCTGTCACAACTTGAGATTGATGAGGTACAACCCATGGTGAAGGGTCCCAGGCTGCCAGATCAGAGTGGAAGGGTCCGGGGCTGCCAGATCAGAGGAGGAGGTTATACCAGAGATTGAGAGACAAGCCCCAATGAATGCAGAAGATGAGATTGGGAAACCAGCCCCAATGAATGAAATGCTGAGCGAGGCAGCAACTGACCTGAAAGCTTAGATCATGGCGAGAATGAAAGCTGGGCAACCTAGAAACCGATTACAACGGCTATGTGAAGTACCACCTGAAAGTCTCATGGAAAGTGTGAATGCAGCACTGAGGGTGATCCCTACCGTAACGATCACGGAAACCAATGAGCTAATATACGCTTTGGCATCAGTGATCCTAGAGATGCTTGGCTATAGGAGCAACCATGGGAGCCAAGAGACACGTTACCCACCATGGAAAAGACGGTTGGAGGCTAAGATCAAGGCGGCTCGGAAAGATGTGAGTCAATTGACGGAGGCCCAAAGAGGTGTGATAAAAAGGCCTATACCCGAGAGGTACATCTAGATGGCCATACCTGAAGCACTCGAAACTGAGGTTTCAAGGCTCCAAGCCTTGTCTAGTCACCTAAAGAGGGACACGGAAGAGAATGAGGCCAGACGAATAAACAGGCTGTTCGCAACACAACCAGCGATAGTGGAAAGGCATATGGGAGAAGGAGGTCGCACATAACAGCAGTGCACAATGGCTGGTGACTCTGAGAGAGGAGAGAGGAACACCCAGTTACCATAACAGTGGCAGACATACAGGAAAGAGTCTCAGATATGAAAAAACTGGACAGCACCAGGCCCGGACATGGTCCACACCTACTGGCTAAAGAAACTCACAGCACTCCATGAGCGCCGAGCAGACTGGAAACTGAAAGATAGTTGCAGAGGGAAGGGAC